TAAAAATTAATCTTTTTCATTATATAATAACCAAATAAACTAAAATTATTGGTATTCAAATCTATTTCATTAAATAAAGCTATTGCATACACAATGATTATACCTATTACAAAAATAGGTTTTAAGTATCACAATACAGACTATTCATTTATGTTATACAAACGAGAGGATATAAGACTTCGAATTTAATCGATAATTTTATTGAATTTTAGCAAATTAATTGGTTATCTTCACTGATTACTGTAGACATAACTTTACTGATTTTTCAAAAAATTTCAAAACTCTAGCAGGACAAACCATTGTCTTGAAAGAAGCTTTTGTTTTATATCATATATAATCAATATGCTTACTTAATTTTTTTTTTATTTTCATGAAAAATTATCATAAAGATATGGTCAACCATCCAAAATTATGGACCAAACCGAGAAAATAATTATAAATAATTAAATTTGTCCAAATCATGTTGTGATGTATAAATTGATTCGGTCCCCAATTTTATGCGATGGATTAATTAGATCTGCGTAATATTTTTTTTTCAATTTTAACAACACAAGCATATACGAATTTGCAAGGTGTTCTCACGCCAATGGTCGCAACTGGCAAGTCACCATACCCACCCCTCTTGGATAATTTCCCATAACGGATTAATACCCATGAGTCAAGGGCATGCATGCGCAGCGAACCCAAATCCTTCTGAATAAAGTAACTAGAACAAAAGATACCAAGTCCATAGTTTTCAAATATGGTCAGTTTTGTTGGTTAGTTAACTTGGCAGTTGGTGGTTTAGTTAGTTAACTTTGCAGTTAGCGGTCTAACACGAGTCACTTTTCATGCTACCATTGGGCCGACCAAAAAGAACTAAAAAGAAGAAAGGATAAATTCAAATAAAAAATCTCTGTGCGGGTCTATGCAAGCAAACTACTCTTTCACTTTCTTTGTTTGAAGGTTCTGTTTGATATTTTCTGTGTTTGGATAATTTTGAGGAACCCACTCTTTGTTGTTTAGGAAAACTGAAGTTTTCTCAATTTTATACAATTCATGTCATGGTTCTTCCACCTTACTACAGGTGTAAGTTGTGACGAAAGCCAGAGTCTAACTGATAGAAATAAAATTTGCAATCTTTCGAAAGTGATTGATGACTAATATTATAGGCTTCTCTACCGGTCAATTTGGCTGTTTGAATTTGGGGTGATTATAATGCCATTTCCCCTTCAGCTGTTTGTAGAATTTTAATTTGCTGCTCAACGTGTACAGTTGTTGAACGTCGATTTCTGCCAGCTTAAGTGGATCCACATGGATCTTTTTAAACACCACAAATGGCAAAATATTAGTGGTAGGTCTAACCCAAAACAACAGAACTATTTTCTTAATTTTATTTTATCAATAACTCTCTGGGTAAATTAGTATAAATTTATACAAATAATTCAATTCAAAATAAGTTGAACTATACTGCGTGTGCGCATTCAATAGAAATGATTTACAGTCCCAGACCAAATGCGTGTTCCCCTTCAGTACTTTTACATGACTTTTTAAAGCAGTCTTACATTTCTAGATTTACAAATTAGAAACAACTAGAAATTTGATGTGAATAACCTCTTTCCTCGTTCCAATGACTTTAATTTCTTTTATAGTTTGGAAGTCTTAAAAGTGAGGAAACCGAGCAATGTTTTCCTTTGCAAAATAGTAAGCAGTTCGTTTTGAGCTTAATTTCGAGTTATGATGGCCATTGGCCAGATGAATTTTGAAGAAGCAAAGAGGTGGACAGAAGATTCTCAATTTCTTTTAGCCGATCCTTTGGAGGCAATACACATATTAAATGCATATATGTAGCTTTATATGTACTACTACAGCACTACTGGTTTGGTGTTAGGGAAAAAAATATATAATACTACTAGTTAAAGTGAAAAGCGCAATGGCGGTGAAAAATTAGTCATCATAAAAAAGAATTGTCTTTCTGACTTTTTATATAGATCAAGTACGTTACTAATTATTATGCTATATCAATATTTTTTGTTCAAGTTTTTTTAAGAATTGTATTTAAATAATATTTTACAAAATAAATTTTAATTAACGAGTCTATTTAAAGAATACACAACTTAAACACAACAAGAAAATTAAAATATAACGATGAAACTTAGCGATGAATCAGCGAATGAATTGCAACTCGTTGCAATTGTTGTCGAGTGGCGGACCTTAGCTACGGAATATTGACGAATTAGCACCGGGCTTTCAGCAAAGGATCTATATCCGTCGCTATATTTGACGGCAAAATCTTTGCGGGTGAAAGTGACATTAGCGACGAAATCTTTATTTTGTCGCTATTTTCCGGGTTTAGGATTAGCGACGAAAATTTCGTTGCTAATTTCCGAGCGATTTCCATTGCTAACTACATATTTCATCGGCAAATTAGCGACAAATTGTTCGTCGTTAACATAAAAAAAAAGAGCGAGACTTTGGTAATTCAAATTTTGTTAGATTAGAGATGAATTAACGAGGGACACTCATGTCCATTACCGATTAGCAATTGAATCGCATCCGTTGCTAATTCCAAATCCTTAAATTATAATTTTCCTTTCTTCTTCTCCAATTTTCTATAGTTTTAATTGTTAATTTGTTTATAAATTTGTTAAATTGTTATTTTTGTTATTTATTAGGTTAATTTGTTAATTAATTGTTAGTTAAATTTAATTAAGATTGAATTAGGGGTAATTTGATTTAGGTTTAAATTCAATTAGGTTTGAATTAGAATTAATTAGATTAATTTGATTTAGGTTTAATTAATTAATTAGGTTAATTTTGATTAATTGATTGATTTTTAATTTTATTTATATTGGAAATTGTTATTTAATTTTTAGCTAAATTTAATTAGGTTTGAGTTAGGGTTAATTTGGGTTAGGTTTAAATTTAATTAGGTTTGAATTAGAATTGATTAGGTTAATTTGATTTAGGTTTAAATTTAATTAGGTTAATTTGATTTAGATTTAATTAATTAATTAGGTTAATTTTGATTAATTGGTTGGTTTTTAATTTTATTTATATTGGAAATTGTAAATGAATTGTTAGTTAAATTTAATTAGGTTTGAATTACATTTAAATAGGTTAATTTGATTTAGGTTTACATTTAACTAGATTTGAATTAGAATTAATTAGTTTAATTTGATATAGGTTTAATGAATTAATTAATTAGGTTAATTTTAATTAATTGATTGATTTTTATTTTTATTTATATTGGAAATTATTAATTATTTTTTATTTTTATTTTAATTAGGTTTGAATTAGATTTGAATTAGATTTTATTAAGTTAATTTGATTTAGGTTTAATTAATTAATTAGGTCAATTTTGATCAATTGGTTTATTTTTAATTTTATTTATATTCAAAATTGTTAATTATTTATTATTTTTTAGATGTTTATTGTGTATTTTGGATGTGTTGAATTTTATACAAATGGCGTTTTTAGTAATTAGGAAATACTCAATTTACAAGGAGACTATACTATATTTTTGTTTGTTTTTTATGAAAATAATTTATTATATATTTTCAGTCGAATTATTATTTATTTATTGTATTTGTTAAATTATTTGAGGCATTATTTTAGAGTTATGTCTCATGAATTAGACAGATTTAGTCACGGTATCAATGGTCTTGATCGTAATGACGACGAGTGTCCATGATAGCGATAGTATCTTTGATCGTGGCATTGATATATATAAATAATAAATAACAATCTCATATATATATATATATATATATATATATATATATATATATATATATATATATATATATATATATATTTAAAGTAACACTAATACCACAATAAATCTCGCCGTTTAGTTTTACTTTTTATGGTTTTTACATATAAAATGTAATAATACAGTGAAATTAATTTCTTCAATCGACATTGACTTAATAAAATTTACATCTATTTAAGGGTGAATTAAGAAGGTACGTAGTTAATTAAGTAATAACTTCATCCCTTTTATTTCATGAGATTCAGAGTTTAAAATCATCATTTGAAAGAGTGTTTACCTGCATGCATGCATGCATGAAATCGATATGATGATATATATCCTTAAAATGGTGTGAAGAATTCAGCTTAAAATATCCCCGAGGACAGTACCCAAAAAAGAAAAAACAAACAAGCTAGTCCATTTATAAGAAAAAACAACTTAATAGTGATATTCTAATTAAATCAAATGTTTCCACAAGTATTTCTTTCTCTCTATCTAGATACAGAATAGATTGACATATTCCTGATCGATTCTGTTACAGGGGAAAAAAAAGTAACTTAATTACCTGGGAGACTATTTGTTTCAACCCGCTGCTTTTAAAGCTAAAATGTGATTTGTAGCAATCCAAAGGTTGTTGCTACAGGAGCATGAATATCCATTTGTCAGTTTTTGGAACTATGTTCTTCTGTGAAGCCAAATTGCACTCTCTTTTATGTTGGTGGACCTTCCAATTAAGCAGGGATTTTGATTTTGACCTAATGTATCTCTAGCTTTATGCGCACCAAAGGTCTCTCTCTCGTCTTTTTTTTTTTTTTTTCGCAAAAGGTGCTCTTCAAGTCCCTGCTCAGCGCTCAGTGCTTGAAGCTTTTCGTTCTTTACTACACCTCTACAAGTTAAATTTTCCGACTAAAAATTTTGAGTACGGCCACATCTAGTAAGAATGTGCTAAATTTATTGTTCTTTGAGCTATAAAGATAATGGATACTTGAAAACAGAATATCAATTAAAAGAGCAATCAAATCCAAAGTACACTTTGAAATAACAGAAGATGAAACATACATCCAATGATCCAATTTCGAACTTTAATAACTGATGTACAAAAAACATGCCTACCAACAATTAAAATCTGGTTTATTTAAGATACTTCATTGTCATGGCTTTCAACTTCTTCACTATGACTGATATACGACTAAACTTGTGAGAGTTCAAAAAAGAAAAGCAACATTAGATATGCCACCTGCAGCTTCATTCCATGGGAGATTCAAGGTCAGTTTGCCATTATCCAGCCACTCAAAAGCCCCCCGGATCCATTCAAGAAACACTTCTTTGGAGATGCATTAGAGTAAGATAAGAAATTTCCTCCACCTTTAACCTCAATCTTTACACAAGTCTCAGCTTCAGAGTCAAAATATTCCAGTTCTTGGATTGTGCCCCCACTGTTAAACATGTTTGTCAGTCCAATAGGAGCAAATTTGATACTGGTGCCTAGCTTCTTGATGGGCACAAAGCTGAAGATCTCAAATGAAGATGGATGGATGGTAATTTGAATTGCTTCAGATTTTCGTGATACAAGCAGTAGTTCTTCTGCCTGGTTGAGATGGATTGTGTACTCTTCAGCCTCACCCATTTGAGCAGCATCTTTCTTTTGGTCCCATTCAATATCAGTAACATGAACAGAAACAGACATTGGCCTGTAACATTCTGAGTAACCCTTGATCCTTTGCTCTTTGGGGTCCCATCCAGCTCCTTGGCAGTTGAAAGCTCCAATCACACCTCCATACTGCAAAGTCCAATTATGGCAATTTAGTTTCATTTGACTTCAAAAGATCATCTTTACTAAACAATTTGCAGACACTACATCAAGAAAATTGTGGCTGGTGAACAACAACTGCCGTTTCCCTAGAATAAGAAATTGACAAATTTAGTTACTTAATGCCCTGAATATAAGTTAAATAATGAAAAGTGTTGGATAGGAAACAAAGTAAACAGCTACTATATCCAAAACACAAAATATTGTTTTATCTAAGCCGTTCAGACAAAATAAATGGATACCTTGTTGAAGTTCCAAATCTTGAGAATTGTTTTCTTGTCAAATAGTGGATTCCTGAAGAGGCAGTCCCTAGTGGGCAGGGCAAAATGTTGGCACTTGGGAATGGTACCATCAGGGTACACGAGTTTCTTGAGGAGTTCAAAATCATGACCACCCACAGAGTCACTCACATAGACAGGTCCACCACAAATAGCTCTTGATCCAGCATGAAATTTGGCACACAGATGGTCAGATTGGAACATATCCCAATCAGGTTGGATAATCTGACCCATCCACATGCTGTTGTAGGCACAATGGATCATATGGACCCCTTGCAACCAATAAACTCCCATGGGATCCCCGTTAGGATCCTGGAACCAGAAATCATCACCTGTAGCAAAACCGTGTCAAATTTAAGGTCCACGGTAAAAATAACAACTTTCTAGCAGATATAAACGTTCAAAAGAATAAAGGAGACCATTTGGTTAGACTTTCTTACCTACTCTTCCCATAGATATCTGCTTTGTTCCAAGGAAGAAGAAATCATTGCATTGTTGCATGCTAGAGATGAGTCCAGATCCTTTGAAATTCTTTGACAGGGAATCTGACAGGCCCCTGTAATAAGCCTTTGCAAGCTCAACACGACCTCCATATTCTTCAGACACATACTCAAGAGTCTGCGTTTGACAATTTAGATTTAGATTTAAAAAAAAAATAAAACTAAGGCACTCTAATGAAGGTTATCCAAATACTCATCCATTAAAAAAAAAAAAAAAGAATAAATGATACATAAAAAAATAGAATAGATGATATACATAAAATAATATCTTACATGAATGACATCTACTTTCACCCCTGTAATACCAACATTGGCAAGGTACGAGTGCATAGAATCGTAGAAATCTCCTGCTTGGTCAGGTTGAACAAGACCAATACCACCTTCAACGATCTTAACCACAGCAAGATCATTCATTGTTCCAGCAAGACCAGGAGACAGTTTGCAAGAAACGATCTTTGAATTCAGATGAGTAGCACCTGGCCTAACACCACCCCAGGCGCCACAGAGAGCATGCCACACATAAATATCATCCAAACCTTTAAACTTTGTCCTCAAATCTCTCGTGAAAGCTTTCATGCCATAACTGTCAGCCTTGCAAGAACAACTTCCGCAGCTCCCACTAGAAACACTCTTTTCTTCTCCGCCAAACATGGCGTCCAGTTCTTGTTTCAACTTTTGAATTTTCGATTCAAAAGCAGACAAGTCACTAACACCAGATTGGATTGCCTTATCGCGATCCTTCTCAGCATGCTCGATTTCTATTGCCTTTGAGATAAGCATCTTTGGTTTCTTTGGATCAAATGAAGGAGGGTTAGGACCGAGCATAGACCCTCCTTTGTACTTTCTGAACTTCTCGCATTCATCAAGCCTGTGAAGCCTGGCAGTCATTTGAGTCCCACCAAGAACAAGGTTCTTAGCGTCCTCGTTCGGATTCTCACCATCGATATTGATGCTTTGCCAGCCATCATCAATGATGAGAAACCTTGGAGAGACACCACCCTCGACAAAATCATTCACACCATGCCATACACCAGCAGGCTCTACAGTTAAATAAAATGCATCCCAAGTGCACCACCCAAATTTATCAATAAGAGAAGGGGCAGTTTTCTCTTCCAAAAGCTTGAAGGTATCGAGGTGGACCCTAAGTGCACTATAGGCCTCTTTCATGATATTGTAAGGATTTTCAGACACATGAACATAAGCGATACCATCAAAAGATGATGCCGTCACCTGAGTAGAACCACTCTCAGCACAAATCATGACATGACCATCAGCTCCAGGGTGGAGAGCAGACCTAAAACTCCCATCAATGACAGGTATAATTATGACATAAGACCTTATTTCAGGAACATTGAGGAGAACCCATTGAGTTTCCATTTGCAAATCAGACCCACAGTTACCCACCCACATGGTAGACCACCAAGTTTTGAATCTAAAGACGGACAAAAATTCCCTACCAGTGAACTTACCAAGGGAGTTCATTAAGCGGTCTGACGGAGCCTCTTTGTGTAACCCAAAGAATCCGCCCTTGTGTGACAGATCTTGGACGCGTTGGAGCAGAGCAAGTGGAGCATCAGACGATTTACAAATAGGAAAAAAAGGAGCAAAAGTCACATTGCTTGGAACTTCAGAAAGCAATGGAAAACCTTTGACCCGAAATTTCCCATCCGACAAATCAAAGTATTTGTCTGAACTCTCCTGCTTACGAATGCTAAGAAGTCGACTAGAAGAATCATTTTGGGGAGCCATGGCAGAGGAAAACAGATCAAAAAACAGAGAGAGCTAAAATAGGAATACAATGTTTGGAGGATAACTAAAGGGGAGGATTTTATGGAGTTTTATAAGGTGCTGTTATGGAAGAAAAATCGTTGAAATGTTTGGTTAATGAATTACAAACAGGTAAAGGCAAGTATTTATCCTCTAGAATATAAATAATTTGATAATTTTGAGCTCTAATTATATCTCTGCACAGAACTGGAAGGTGAAATCAATAATATACAGTTTACAAATATAGAACTTGAAACACAAAGTTATATGTACAAACAATCTTTGATAGACTTGAAAAATATAGAGGCTTTGAAGAGACTTGAGATCACACAAAAAGGACAAGCTAATTATAGCAGCGAAGAGAAAGCTAATAAGCGCAGTAAGAGAAGAAGAATTGCTTGCATTGAAGAAAATGGGAAGGCCGTGCACATATTTATAGAGAAAAAAGGGCATAGGTACGTGTGTAGAAAATCAATAAAAATTACTACTAGAATCAAGTAAGCTATGCTGTCCAGAGACGAAGGTTGGATGCGTGTAGGTGATGGTTGCTTTTTTGGGCTTTTCCTCATATGCCACTATACTCTGTTTTTCATTTTTATCCAGAGTATAAATAATGAGAAACCTTTTACCAGAAGAAACGAAAGAGCATTTGTCCATTCGGGACAGTGACTGGAAGTAGTTACAGTCTGAAGCGTTTGAAGAATTTTATTCAAAACCAAAAGGTGAATTAAATCTTTATATGCGCGCCACTTGCAAACCATGCATGCGAAGTAATTTACCGGCAATTTCTTAAAGTAGTACACTGTATGTAAAATTAAATTTTATCTATTAAAAGCGGCAGGGCTCCGAGGCTGATAGAATCGTCCAGCTTAATCTTTGTGGGACATATTGGACTGCTAAAAAATGATGGTGGCAACTGTTTGGCATCAGAGACCTGGAGGGTTCTCAGTGAGATTACACCTTACATTATGTTTATTTGACTTGTAGGTTTCAATTTTTAATTAGTATTGGTGGGCTGCGGACTGTGGTTATAGATACATATATTTTAAATAGGATTGGTGGGCTGTGGTTATATATATTTATGTGTGTGTGAGAGAGAGATTGAGTGGCACTGAAATGTGAATTTATTACTGTTGGCCTCCAAAACAATAAAAGGGCAAGTATCAAATAGAAACACAATACATGTTTGTTAGATCACTCTCAAGTCACTAAAGACATGAAAAACACACCAAAATCAACGCAAAACAAATCTGCTTTTTCTGCAGAATCAATGATAAAAACAGAGAGGGTTTTTTTTCCCTCTCTCACGGTCTCTCTTCTCAATTCCAAAACATTCAGCCCTATTTATACCAGAAACAACACCATAACTATACCTCACACTTATTCACTTTGATCACAACTTAAACTAACTCTAATTACATTAACTTAAAATGAGTTAAATTGAATAAAATTAAAGTAAAAAGCTATTAATAATAAATTTACAGCATATTATCCTTAATATGCTAAGCTTGAACTCCTTAAGCACTCCTTAGTTGTTGAAGATGTCAGCCACTTGCTTTGTAACATCTGTGACCTAAAACTCTTTTAGAAAAATAAATGTATTGTATGGATATTTTGCAAATAATAAAAAGTCTGTATTCATTGAATAAATGAGTGAAATTTGAAATTCAATTAAGGATCAAAGAAACGCAAGTAAAATTAATGAAATACGTTTATGGAATAAGAAAAGCTTGAATTAGACAACAATACCCTTAATTGATATGGTTATGCATTGTCATAGGGGTGCAATTTCAAAACCTAAGGGTATAATCACAAAGATTAAAGGTTTAAATCCTTAATTGAAATAATTAAGAAACCTTAGGGACTTGAATTAACTTCGGATTGACTTAGATAAGGGTCATATTTATGAAAAATGTGAATTATGGACTGAAATTACATGGTCGAGTTGCAAGGATTGAAAGTTTGAGGACTAGGATGTAAAGTGCCTATAATGTGAGAGACCTATTAGTTGAACTTAAGGAACAAAAAGAGTTAAAAAAAATCTGAAATTTCATATTTAAGGGAAGAAAGAGAGAATGGCTCGAAGGAGAAAGAGAAGGGAGAAAGAAAAAAGGAAAACCTATGGCAAAGAGAGAGAGACTCCATCCATCCAAAACGATTACTCTCAATCCCTCTAATTAGTTTAAAAACATCTTAAATTAACCTCTAAACCATCTTAGAAGATCAAGAAAGGAGGGGAGAGAATTATCCACTTTGGTCGAATTTTCTCGAAAGGAAGGAGAAGGAATGACCTAAGGAGAAACTAGAGAAGAAGGCCAAATTCTAAGTGAGGTAAGTATAATTTCTCACCTACATCATAAGAATTTATGTTTTAAAACGTAATTAGTGTTAATTTAGGGTTTTTTTGATAAAGGGTTAATTAATATGTTATTGAGGATTATGTGAAAATGATTGAATTGTAATGGTATGGTAATGATTATGTGTTTGTTTTATGAAGATGATAATGTTTGAGTGCTTGAATGATATGAAAATTCAAGTTTGAAATATGTCCTTGTTCTAAGAACAAGGTGGATGAACAATCCATAAACATTTATAAATTGGTAGTTGTTTTACCTAATGCCTATCATGTGTATGATGAAATTTCTTAAAGGCATTCCTAAGGCTAGATTGAAGGAATAAAAATTGTCATTCACTTAGCTCAAATCCGAGTTAAGTGTGAAAAATAAGGACAAAGAGCCAAATGGGAAATGGTAAAATGTGAGGTTTAAAGGATTTAGAGGAATGGGAATGATTACGTTTATATAGAAAAAAAATAATTGATTATGATGCTTGTTTGCTTGGCCTTGAGATGATATTTATTATTTTTATGGAATGTGCATGGTATGTTTTATGTTACATGTATACTTATGTCATTGGAACATGTAATTGATGTTTTATGTTGCGTATGTTTTTGAGGATTTTCAAAAGGTATGCATGCTGAGAAAATGTTCATGGTATTGCATTCTATTCAAATGTACATGCACATTATTATCATGAAAAAGAATTTTATATTCATGATTTTAATGAAAGGAAGAAGAAAGAAGGTTTTAAGGAAAAAAAGAAAAAGCTTCCGTGATTTTCATGATAATGCTATTTTTTCGTCGAGGGAGTGGGTAAAGGCCTCGATAGTTACAGAATTTGATGAAGGCCCCAACCGAAGAAATTAACCACTTTTTCGTCAAGGGATTTGATAATGGCTTCGACAATTAAGGAATTTGGTAAATGCTCCAATTGAAGAATGAGATAAAAGCATTTCTTCGTCGAGGTATTCGATAAAGGCTTCAATGATTTGGGGATTTGATGAAGGCCCCAATCGAAGAAATGATAAAGGAAAGGTTGTACCTAAAAAGGAAAAGGAAAATGATTTTCAAAGGCATGAAAAAGGACTTTATGAAAGTTGCATCATGTGCATTCATGCATAAAGGACATCATATGCATTGCATAAATTATACTTACTAAGCTTTACCTTACTCACCATTGTTTTTTACGGTGTAGGAAATGATAAAGATAATCGAAGAGTAGGCTGCTAAGACAAGTGATGGACTTGTCATTTTGTATGCTTTGGGTTAGTGAGTATGAGAATCATGTAAGGCTTAGCTTGATTTTTGGTGTATAGCAAGATAGGCATTTTGGGATATGTGTAAATCAATTAAACAAATACTTTTTTGGTATAAATGAAAAGGTTTGTTTGAATGTTAAGTATGGTTAAGTTAGCCTTATTAGTCATAGAACTTAGATGCTTAAAATGACTAATATAGCTAAAATGATATAATTGATTGAATTATGAAAATGGTTTTAACTCAAGATAAGAAGTAAGGAACTAGGTAGGAATATTAAAGCCAAGACTAAAAAAAATATAATAGTTAAATTATTAGAAGAGGTTTAATTGGAATTAGTGAAGGCCTAATTGAACCTAAAAGAAAAGGAAAAATTAGTTTGTACCCAAATTATATATAAGTAGACCTAGTAACCCATACACAATAGGGACCTACTTGTATGATAAATGCCCACTTCCGTTAATACATTAGGAATGACGAGAGGAGGAGGTTCATTGGCTTGCATTCATTGTACTTTGAATGTAGGTCAATATTGATAATATCCATAACCTATCTAGGTCCTAGGTCGGGAATGTTACATACTTCTTTGATTTATAAAATTCAAGATCAACCTCTCATTCCTCAATTGCTTCACTAATGAAATGATGTTTGAATGCAATGTTCTTAGTGTTGTTGTGAAAAACTAAATTCTTTGCCATTACTATAGCTGATTTATCATCACAAAACATTATTGTTGCCTTTTTTTTCTTTTCTCCAACATCTTCCATAATTCTTCCCAACCAAATAGCTTATTGAGTAGCCAAACTAGCTACAACATACTCGAGCTTTAACGGAAGATTGAGCTACCGATTATTATTTCTTTGAACACCAAGCAAACACACCTAAACCAAGAGAAAAAACATAACCCAAAACATTTCTCATATCATTAACACATCCACCTAAATCACTATTACAAAACCTAGTCGGTTTCAACTTAGAAACTTTATCAAACCCGATTTCATACTTCATAGTGCCTTGAATGAATCTAAACACCCGACTTCAAGGTGAAAGTGACTTGGAGAATTCATAAACCTAGAAAACAAAATTACTGCAAACATTCCATCGAGCCTTTTAGGCGCCAAATAAAGTAGACTCCCAATCAAACTCCAATAAAGAGTGACATTTACCTTGTTTCCTCCATCTTCTTCCATTAACTTTCTATTCACCAATAAAGAAATATCAATAGGTTTGTAGCCTAAAATTTTGAATTTTTTAAGAATTTTTTCATCAAACTTCTTTTGACAAATGAAACACCTCCATCATTTTGGTAAAACTCAATACCTAAAAAATGATGCAACAAACCCATATCATTCATCTCATATCTTCTCATCCTTTATTTCTTAAACTCTTCTATCCATCTTACATTATTACCCATAATCACTAGGTCATCAACATACAAAACAACAATAAGAATATCACATTTACCTCGTTGCTTCACATATAAAGTACGCTCACTTTTGTTTCTTTCAAACCCATGCTGAATGAAATAGCTATCAATTTGATTATACCAAGTTATTAGAGCACGTTTCAACTTATATAATGTTTTTTTCAACAAATACTCCTTGTCTTTTTTTCTCTAACAAAAAAACCTTGTGGCTACTCTACATAGATCTCTTCTTTTAATTCTCTATTCAAAAAGGCTGATTTTAACATCAAGTTGGTATAACCACCAACTTTTATGAACTGCAAGTGCAATGAATGCTCTAACGTTATCCATATGAGCTATCGGAGGAAAAAATTCATTAAAATTAATTCTAAACAATTATGAATAACCTTTGGCAACCAATCTTTTCTTATTTTTTCATATAAAACCATCTTGATTATGCTTCACCATGTAGACCTACTTTACACCAATCACTTCTTTATCTTTTAGCTTATCAACCACCTAAGTTATGTTTTTCTCAACCATATATCTATTTCTTCTTTCATAGCTCTTCTCTAACATTTTTCTTTGCTAGTTTCTTTAAAAATTTTAGGTTTAATAACATAAAAATTACATCTTGCATACATCTATATGAAACTCCTCATCTTTTTTGAAGTTGAGCTAGAAGATGTTGGGACATTTATTCTAGGATTTTGATAGTCTTCTTCTTTAACATTTTGTTCTTTTTTAACTAATTTGCTTTATATCGAAGTTGAGCTACTCTCATGTTTAACTTTGCATTCTTCCCGATTATATTTTGTTTTCTCATCAAACAACACACCTTTGCTCATAATGACTTTCTTGGTTTTGAAATTATACAACCTATAGTCTTTGACATGAAGTTATAGTAAAGAAACATACATTTTTCACTTGTTTACGTGCCTTTTTTTCCTTTGAAATCCGAGCATAACACACAACTAAACACTTTTAGGTGATTCACTCGATGGCTTCTTAGCACTCCAAGCTTTAAATGGTGTTTGATTATTAAAGCTTTTGTTGGGCTCTTATTAATCAAATAAACAACTATATTTACAATCGTATGGAAAACTCTTCCCAAACAACATGGACTTGGCCTTTTATCACCTTTTGATATTTTCTCTCGGATACTCTATTTTGTTATGGAGCATAACCTATTATCGGTTGTCTTTCCATATATTTCTATTCATAAAAATTCTCAAATTCACCCAATGTGTACTCATTTCCACCATCATTTCTTAACATTTTTATCTTACAATCATTTTGCTTGTTAACAAGTGTTTTAAAATTCTTAAATATGCTAAAAACTTTAAATTTATGCCTCATAAAATAAAACTAAGTTATACGATAATCATTAATGAAGAGGATAAAGTACCTATTTTGTGAATTTGAAGAAGTTCTCATAGGATCACATACATCCGTATGCATTAGCTCAAGCTTTTGTTTGGCTCTCCATGCTACTCCTTTAGAAAAGGATTATCAATGGTATTTCTTAAGTGCACACCCTTCATAAGTATCATTCTTCTCTTTTAACTATATCGATGGGGTTTTGCATTCACCTAGCTCGATGAGGTTTTTTTCCATATTTTCTTTATGTATTAGTCTTTCTTTTATATTCGTTGTTGGTTTTATCCGACATGGATATAAGAAGTGTGTTTCATCCTCGAAAAGAATGGCATTTCTTTCTTGTAAAGAGGGTTTAGTATTTTTTTATCTTTTGATCGAATGATGATCTTTTTTGAAATTTTTTTTAGTGTAAACCATATCCTCTACTTTTGGAATAATTTCCCATTTAAGACTAATCTTGTCGGTGTTCTTTAGGGTCAAGATCACTATGGTAGGTAGGGGTAAGTAAACGGTTAAACGAGTTGATTTTGTATAATTTAGTTCGATTTTGGTTAATTGAATTAAGAAAAATTAAAATTGTAATCAAAGAAAAATAAGTTCGATAAATTTGATTTGAAACTAAATTATTCAGCTTAATTTTATAAAAAATTAGTTTGAACTAAAATATTTTATTATAAAAAAAAAATTTAGACCCAATCAATCTCATTCTCTCGTCCCGACTCCTCGACTAGTAAGCCACCACCATTTTGGCATTTTCCATTAAAACTAGGTTGATTTGTTGCCTTGAGCTAGCTAACCCCATCTTTAAATCATTCCCTCTTTTCTCATTCCCATCAAGACTTAAAATCTTAATAGTTAACCCCATCTTTAAATCATTCCCTCTTCACTATTGCTTTCCTTCTTACACTAATCTACACAAAAGAGACCTTAGCAGACTTCTTCGGGCCCATTATTAGCTTTTGAATTGATGGGTTAATCTTGGGGCTCATTTGCTAACTTTTCTTTCTTTTCTTCTTCTTGGACTCTCAGCAACATTGTCTTTTTTATCTCCTTCTTTATTAGTCTCTCAATCTTTCTTCTCCTGTGTAACATCTTTAGATGCAAGTAAAAAGAACTCGACTCGGAAGAGATTCCCACCATATCCATGTTTAAAAAATTACATACTTTGCTACAAAGTTAATAAGGAACAACATTTTACACTTTCATAATCCTAGCAAACTCGAATGAAAAGAGAAAAAAAAAAACCTCGATCCATACCAATAAAAAAAAATACGACGAGTAAATTATGAAACAATTTAAAGTCGAAAGTTAACTACTAGGAGACAAGGAAGCGAGTTGACACACACACACACACACACAGATTACTCGCTAATTTATGACTAAACTTGGCTATGCACAAAATGGTTAGAAGATACACTTTAACTTATCTAGAAAAAATATGATCAAATTATCCAAATTTCAACTTCAACGTGTGTTATTACCGTAGTGAAAATTATCCTAAAATAATAAGAAAGCATTTTGCAAGCAAACAGATCAAAGATCTTGGAAGATGTTTCTTCAGCACATGACAACAATAGCCATGTGCTAGGCAAGGTCATTGTTACTAAAAACTTATCTAAAACAAAGATAATGCATTAATAGATTTTAAACTTCTATGCGAATTAAAATTATCCATGATTTGGGTAAATTTTAATGAGCAAAAAGCATTGTAGAAAAAACTTTGGCTCATAATTGGAATTACCATGTGACTCATCTTGGCCATTGCTATCTTTCGGAGAAACTCCAAAATCGGTAAGAAGGGCCTTAAGCTCGCAAGTTCCTTCTTCTTTCTTTCCATCTTTGAAAGTTGTCTTTCTATCTCCATAGGCAGCATGAGAACTTATGGGGCTTTCTTCACAACTAGCTCTAGGTGCACTAGAGCCTCTAGTTCATGGTCATGTTCTTCCTCTACATCATCATTGCCTTCATCCAAAATATCTTCTTTGCTCCCACTTTCCTATAAAAAAGAGAAGGCAATTAGTGCATGCCAATAAAAATTAAACTCGTTTATCGGTCATTTTGCAATCTCATTGCACTGTCCCGACTCCTGAGCCGGTGAGCCACCACCATTTTGGCATTTTCCATTAAAACTAGGTTGATTTGTTGCCTTGAACTAGCTAATCCCATTTTGAAATCATTTCCTTTTTTCTCATTTCCATTAAGACTTAAAATCTTAATAGTTAACCCTATCTTTAAATCATTCAATATGATAAAGGAAAAGGAACAGATTTAAAACAAAGAATTAAAGAGAAAAGGGAAACAATTGTTGTAACTATAAAACCAAAAATTGGTTCCTATATATACAAAAATGAACAAAAATTGGTCGAAGGCTACATATATTTTCCTACAAAACCATGATAACATTCGATCCAAATTACATAAGTATCGAAATGAAAAAAAAAAAAAAAACATAACGAGATCGACCTTGGGAGAGCTCTTCAATAAAGGAAGAGATGAAAACTAGCTAAGTAGAAGGAGGAGGGTGGTGGGTGGTGACCGATGAGTGGTGACTCGATGACCGATGAATTATGACCAATGACCGATGACTTGTGAGATCAAAGGAAGATTACAAAGAGATGGGTGGTGATCGGTGAGATTGGAGGAGACAAGAGAGCTAGAGAATTGGGTAGTGACTAGTGAGATTAGAGGATGATGACAAATTGCCGGATAGGTGGGTGTTAAATGTGTTGGGCGATGCTCGATGAAGGACAAAAGGAGAATTGGAGAAGAAGGGAATGAAGGTTGAAGGAGATGGGTGAAATTTTTTGATTCGGTGAAAAGTGAAGTTATGTTATCAATCTTAGAGATTTAGATTAGGATTTAGGAATTTTTTTTACTTTTAATTTCAGCTTTTGATTAAAACTGAAATTTTTTTAGAAAAATCGAACTGAATAGAAATAATTTTGTTTCGATTCGAATTTAAATTCAAAATATATAATTTGATTTGATTTTTAATTAATCTAACTGTTTGTTCACCCTTAATAACAGGGCAATGGGCCGACCCCTGGTCGGTGAGTTCTAACTTTTATCCGGCGTTTTGCGTGATTTTCTAGTAATAGCAAAGATACCTATTTTGAATAGACACATGCCTGGAGTGTTTTTCTCCGAGCATATCAATGATAACTAGTCAATATGTCTATGAATGTTGCTAATGTGATAATCAACTACTAAAAGATCCAAATTATGCAGTCGTGTCAAAGAAACACCGAATTGCTCTTTACCATATTCGCTTCAGGTATCAGAGACGCAGCGCTCGTGTGTCACCTTATATTGAACATATATTTTACCATTAGTCAAGAAGGAGATGTGGATATACTTTTATTTGTTACCAGAAGAAGCGAAATTAGTGGGTGCTGACGTGCTGTTAGTCGTCGATTTCTCTGGAATGTTGCAGGAGGAGATGCGAGTTGAAAAGGAAAGTTTCACCGGGGGGAACTTTTTAATTACTGACACTTTTGTTAGTGAAATATACGAAATTTGGAAGTGGGAGTTTAGGTCAGGTGGGACCTGATTTTAAAAGTAACGAGATATTGATTACAGTCTAAAGCCCATTTTCAATCACTTGTGATTTGGTAGTTATAATTAGCATTCTTGTATTCAATTAATCCAATATTTGTTCAAGAAATAAGTTCAAAAAACTAATTATAGTCTAAAGTTTTATATATAAAATCCGTTCGTTACTTTTCTAAAAAATGACGTATAAATTTGATTAGTTTTATTCATAGAAATATATGTCTTGAATTTTCTTTCTAAAATAAATTTGAAGACATGTTTAAATCTTAAAATATTTATTTAAGGGACAAGTTTAAATGGTGAGATGGGGGTGTATGACTTAGGATTGCAAAAAACTCTCTTATTATATATGTAGCCCGATGTTTATTAGACGTCGGTAAGTTATTGTTGAGCGATATTAATTTTATTTTTTTCTCAACATGTTTTTAATTCGAGCTTCTTTACATCATTTTTTATAGGCCTTCAAGTAAAAAAAGAGTTTATATATATGTGCACGCACGTGCATGTTAAAAGTGAATTAATAGTTTCACTTCTAAAAAAAAATTTGAGGATTTAGTTGATAGAAATAGATAAAAATAAAAATCAAGAATTTAGTTGATAGGATATATAGTAATGTCGTAGAAACGAATAAATTGTTTATAATCATTTTTCTGTAATTATATATGAGGTGACCAAAATTAGCAGTAATATGCTTTACTTATAGTAATTCAAGAATAGTTCTGGACAGGCAGTTTAAAGTTTTATTGAATAATATTGAACATAAATGAAGCTACTTATTTTGATATTCTTGAAAGGGGAAGTAAAAGATTTCGAATATTTAAAAATAATTTTTAAAAGTAATGCTATCTTATTGAGTGAAAACTCAAGTGGCAGAAAATTACAATTACTATTGGATGAGTAGAAAATACCTTAAATGTTGGGGTTTTTCTCCCCCAACAATTAGGAGGACGGCATGCACAAGTCTACGCACATGTAAGGAATAGAAACCTCATATGTTATTGAGTTTAATATGTAAATGGAGAATTTCATATCGCTTAAAATTTTTTTAAAAAAAATTAAGGTATTTATATAAAAAAAAATAGACTCATAACTATTAAATTATATTTTTAAATTAAGATGGTGTCTCGTCACTATATATAAGTCTTTCTATTTACCGTCTCAAATGACTCTCTATTGCATTTTTGTTTTTAATAAATAGCATCGAGTCAATGGTTCGATAAGAATGAATACAATGTGACTGATTAAGCTCTCGTTGTTGCAATCCAATAGTTGAATAAATGTAATGTTATATTCGAATTATATATATATATATATATATATATATATATATATATATATATATATATAGAGAGAGAGAGAGAGAGAGAGAGAGAGAGAGAGAGAGAGAGAGAGAGAACAATGTTTGATGTGGAGAAGAGACTCGTCTATTAATGAAAGATTTGTTGAGTTCAACATATAAATAGAGAATTTCACATTAATTAAGAGGAAGAAGTTTGAGGTGCTTGTATATAAAATGGATTTATAATTCATTGGTTTATACATTTTAGACTTTTAAATTAAAGCTGTATCCATTTTTATATGTAAGTCCTTGCTTATGGAAACTTAAATAATTTTTCATTCTTGGTAAAGGTAGTAATCACCAATTGTTTCTATATATATATATATATACCATCTAAGTCCCTACAACCATCTTAAATTCAATGTCTTTTATTGTGAGAAAAATATTTTAAAGGAACTTTACTTTTTCAATTGAATTATCTCATTAGTTAAACAAAAACTTGGCTATATTGTGAGTTTTAGTAGTTTTGGTGGAAAAAAAAATTCAAATTTCAATTTCTACTACAAAATTTGACCCTTTCCCAACAAATATCGCGCCTTAGCGAAGCTGGATCGATAATCAAAATTAAGGCCGGTTCGGCTTCATGCGTTGGACGCATGTATTCGCCGTAATAATCTATTCACCCTAACAAAATGAAATTCTAAATTCTACAATAATCTAATTTAGCAGCGGAATATTATGGGGTGAAATTCACTCAATATTTTTATATTATTCAGTATTATTTATTTTAACTCTTTAATTCAGATATAATATTAAATAAATTTTATAATATTTAAAATTAGAATAAATTGATTTCTTTATCAATTTTCGATTAACCATATGCCATCATATGATAGTTAAACGATTGATGTAAAAGTTAATTGATCTAATATGATTGGTAGAACTTTAAATGAAAAAACTAAATTGTCCAAACTTTAAGTTATATAGGATTTGTTTTATATTATAACTAAATAAAAAAAGATTAAAATAGATAATATTAAATAATACAAAAATACAAAATAAATTTGACTGGTTGATTATATTGTCTCTATGAGAACATTTTCTTTTTAACCGTAGTAGAAGAACAAAAGGACCAAATTAACTCATAAACAATTTATTTTTCGCAAATATGATTGAGCGGGTCTTATGAGAGAATGTATGACCTATATATTTTTGGAACATTCTTTTTTAACAGAAAACACAAACATAGAAATACGTGTGGGATGTAGATAATTGTTATTGAGGCATGTGCAACGTAGTTAAAATACTTGACGAGTAGGGCAAGAAGCATGTATTTTGGTCACTTCTTGTTCTTCGCAAGAATCTCACGTCGTTGATATATATCAATACACTGGTGGGAGAGGGTGAAACGAATATTTTTTTAGGTCGTTTTGGTCATGTGAGTACGGTCGTTGTTATTCTAGTAACAAGAGCAAAAGCAAAAGCTTTTATTGAAGATATAAAGTAAGGAATGAATCGGAGAAAAGAAGAGAATATTATATATATCCGCTTCTTGTCGATTATAAAAGATAGCTATCTGCTTTTTAATTTTATCCTCAAAAGTCCTTATTTTCCTTGTGATTCTCACGAATTCCCCTTTATTTGGATTGGGTCTATCCACTTTCATTTGTTCTTTCTGAAGCACAAAATCCTCCATGTTCTGGCTCTTTTAAAAAGCAGCAATTAATCCACCACTGAATTTTCATTGATCGCAACGTACAATGTGGAGAATTTTATGATTTTTAGGTGTATATTGATAATTAAGAATGGAGTGATATGAATAAAAATGAAAGTTTTATTTCCACTTTAGATTGGAAGGAATAAAGTGAGAATCGGAATGAATAGTGAAAATAAAAATAAAAATTACACACAACTTCATTATCATTAAAATATGAGAATAAAAACAAAAAATGAGAATAAAATTTTATTTTTTCAAAATAATAATATAATATATTTATTTATTGTATATTAACTACTTTTATCGCCACTAAAACCACCACCACCACCATTACTTTTATTATTTTTACAATCATTATAATTTGATAAAATTATTTTTTAATCATTATTTTTATTTGTATAAAAAATAAAATATTAAAAAATTTAAATTGCATTCCGATTCCTCATTAGTATTTCAAACATAGTATGGAATACAAATGTTATTTCTATTTCTTAATTTTTATTTTGATTTCTATATTCTCATTCCAAATTTTTCATTTGTAGTAACCAAACGACATTCTAACAATATTTACCATACGAGAACCTTAGGGCACTTGGAATCACCGTGATGCCGAATGTGAGGATGGGTTCTTATTCTTTGTGTGTAATTTTATTGGACTTCTAATTTTTAAAGAAGTATTCAACTTCTCATGCCAAAAATATAAAATGATAGTTGAATAATAGTCCCTTGACATTATTTTTAAATTATGAATTTTGATTTAAAGTTATAATAGAAATTTGGTTTTCTAACTGAATTATGACAATAATGAGTAAAATGACATGTTTGATAAAAACAACTCAAAACAATTTTTTTTTTTTTTTAAGAAATGTAGTTTAAGTTAGAGTTATAAGTTAAAAGTTAAAAATAATGAATTTTGATTAAATCAAAAGTTAAAGAACTACTATAAATTAATTTGTAAAAGTCAAACCAAATAACCTAAGATAGCTTCATTTTATATGTTTGTGTGCACGTTAATTTATTTATTTATATGTTGATGTACATGTGGTGCGGCTACTGGATAGTTTTTTTTATTATTATTATTATTTTATCAGCAAGGTTTATTGTTTTTAGAAAGGTTAATTCAACTTAGAAATAGAGTAATTTGGAGAAGTTTTTATTTTTGTCTTAGGAAGATTTATTTGTTGGATTTGTTTATATATATGAGGTTATTTCCATCTTATAAGACATCAACCTTCGAAAGACTTATCTGAAAGGTTATTTTAATAAAGTTTTGTAGATTGTCACATTTGTACAAATTTGTTAAAGTTTTACAATTTACAATGATTTTGCACGATACTATTATAAAATTATTTTTTAAAAATTTTGTTTGATTGATAAAATAGGTTTGTTTGTCCTGCTATTACTAGAATTCAAATATTCAAAAAGACCGTGACAAAAATAATTTCTTATAATTATACCAAACAAGATGTGCATAATCCGCTCAAAATCGGCCTAAAAGACGTACTTTATATTTTGCAAAGATTCGAGGATACTTGCCAAGTCGTCCAAAAAAAAAAAAATTGATATGTTTCTCTATTAAAAGCGGTTTTATGATTTCCATCGATTTTGAATATTCATGACGAAATGTCTCAAAATGTTTTTGTATTTTTTTCTTTCTTGTATTGGATTGGATATACAGAGGAGAAGATTCAATGCTGGAAAATAGATTATCTTAGTTTGGCGTCGCCAAGTCAATTGCCTAGCCACGTAAGTTACGATGGGTCGGTCGTCAAATTGTCGGTGGACTGATGGAATTGTGATCCTTCACATTAAAAATTAATTACGAGAAAGTTAATATTTTTTAAATCAAATGCCGGCATTAGTTTTTGGATTTTGCTTCGGGACACAAGTCAACATTTTTTTCTTTTCTACTGCTATTTTATATGCTTTTTTTAACCTTGAACTGTTATAGATTGGATGTTGGTCGGTCTCAAGAAGGTGTCTTCTTAGATGATATTGTAAATAAAGCAAATACGTTAGCTATTTTATTACGAGAGAAATTATTAAATATATTATTATTGTATTGTATAAACTAATGATTTATCATTAAAATTATTTAAGAGTTTCATTTTTATAAAAAAATAAAATGCAACTTCTCCCGTGCTTAATAATTTTTCGTCGAAAACGTATAATATATTTAATCATTTTTAAAGCAATAAGTTGTAAGAACTCTTGTCTTTGTATGCAGACAATTAATGATCAATCTCCACAATTTAACGAATAATCAGAGGAAAATAATAAAAAGAAAATAAATAACTTGTTTATCGTAAAAATGGGGAGTTTCTACACAAGAAACTTTTAAATACAATACTTTTTACATGATTATCTCAAATAAAATAAATCACGAAATTCATATAAAATCATAGGATGATAGATTGATATCCCGAAATGTTGTGTGACTTGCAACTTTATAGAGGTTAATAAATTTATAGAACGGTGGTATAAATATCATAGAGAACTTTGGTAAAGTTATGAAAAATTCGGAAAAGGATACCTTGTTGAAGTTCCAAATCTCGAGAATCGTTTTCTTGTCAAATAGGGGGTTCCTGAAGAGGCAGTCACTAGTGGGCAGGGCAAAATGTTGGCAAAGGAGCAATCACCGATTGTTTATATATATATATATATATACACACACACCATCTAAAATTCAATATCTTTAAAGAAAAATATTTTATAGGAACTTTATTTTTTCGATTGAATTATCTCATTATTTAAACAAAAACTTCGCTATATTGTGAGTTATAGTAGTTTTGGTGGGTGAAAAAAAAACTTCCAATTCCAAATTCTGCTACAAAATTTGACATTTTCCCTGATATTCGGCCCCGTTTCTTAACCCAGCTTCTTTAAAAACAAATACTGCACCTTAGCAAACTGGATCGATAATCAAAATAAAGCCCAATTCGGCTCCATATCTTTATATTATTTAGTATTATTTATTTTAATTCTTTAATTCAGATAAATTATTAAATAAATCTTATAATATACAAAATTCAAACAAATCAATCTTTTTATTCGTTTTCATTTACCCTTATGTCATCATATAATTAGTAAAACGATAAATATAAAAGTTAATTTGTCTAATATAATTGATAAAACTTAAAAAAAAAAACTAATTTGTCCAAAATTTAAGTAACATAGGATTTGTTTTATACCATAACTAAATAAAAAAAATTAAAATAGACAATATTAAATAATACAAAAATACAAAATAAATTTCACTATTTGATTATACTGTCTATACAAGAACATTTTCTTCTTAAGCATAATAGAAGAATAAAAAGACAAAATTAACTCAAGACAATTTATTTTTTTCAAATATGATTGAGCAGGTCACATGGGAGAATCTATGACCTATATATTTTTGGAACATTCTTTTTTGACAGAAAACACAAACATAGAGACACGTGTGGGATGTAGATAATTGCTATTGAGGCATGTTCAACGTAGTTTAAATACTTGACTAATAAGGCAAGAAGCATGTATTTTGGTCACTTCTTGTTATCTGCAAGAAATCTCACGTCGTTGATAAATAACAATACACTGGTGGGAGAGGGTGAAACGAATATTTTTTAGGTCATTTTGGTTGTGTGAGTACGGTCTATTCTCATAACAAGAGAAAAAATAAAAGCTTGTTATAAAATAAATAAATAAAAAAATAGGAGAATTGAAGAAAATGATGATAAGAAAATAAAATCACTATAATGTGAATATAAGTGATAAGAATTTCAAAGTTTTTTTTATTATCTCTAAGAAATTTATACACCAACTAATGAACAATCAAGCTTATTTATAAGCTTCAAAATTGAGGAGAGAATTGGAAGGGATTATAAATAATCAATTGCATCACCCTTTCAATTTCTCATATTGAATGATGAATTGAATCATATTAAGAATTATGAGTAGTGGGGATATGAAAAGTGGATGAACATGATGATGGATATTCATTATTTCATAACACTCCCCCTGAATGTCCATTGTACAAGGAACATGCCTCGTTAAAACCTTACTAGGAAAAAACCCGAGTGAGAAAAAAATCCTAGTGAAGGAAAAATAGTACAATATTCCTTGCACACATTAATTCTCATTTTGGTCTCCCCTCGTTGAAGGCATTATTTATGATCTCTAAGACAACGCATTCCAATCTTGTGAATCATCTTCTCAAAAGTTGTGATAGGTAACGCCTTAGTGTACAAATCTGCTAGATTGTCACTTTGATGTATTCTTTCTTTAATTGAACTATGCAAGCAGCATTATCCTCATATGCTATTGTTAGAACTTCTTTTGCTGATAGATAAATTGTATGTTTCTCGGATATGATGGATCGTTGATCTTAGCCAAACACATTCTCGACTTACCTTGTGAATTGATATTTCGCATGATTTGAAGATGTGGTAGCCGTAGTTTGCTTCCTAGAACGTCAAGATATAGTTGTATCTCCATATGTAAATATATAACTAGTTGTAATCGAGCTTTGTGTAGATTAGATAAATAACTCGCATCCGCATAGCCAATTAATCTTATCTTTGATTTATTGGAGTAATATAAGCTCATATCAATTATTCCTCGAAGATAACGTAGTATATATTTAATTTTATTTCAATATCTTCGTATTGAAATAAAACTATGACTTGCTAATAAATTTATAGAAAAGACTATATCGAGTCGAGTATTATTAGCAAGATATATCAATGCATCGATGGCACTAAGACATAGTACTTCGGGACCAAGTAGTTCTTTGTTATCTTATTGAAGTTGAAAATGATCTTTTTGGATATCAAGTAAATGAAATATCATTGGGTTAGTCAATGAATGATCTTTATATAGAATCATTGTTGAACTTTTTTCTATATAAATTGATTAATGAATAAAAATCTCTTTCTCCGAGTGCTCGAACTGCAGGTCGAGATAACATTTTGTTTTCCCAAGATATTCACATCAAA